CTCTTCAAGGCCGTCGCACACCTGAGCTGCTTATATCAGAGCAACTGCTCTCTCCTCGCCCCTCCTTCTTCCCCTGACATGCTTCCAATGCCAGGAAGGAAAGGGCTAGATAGTGCAAGAATTATCTCTCTGTCCTACCCCCTCCTCCCCATATTTATGTCAACTTAGAGCCATTTCTTACCAAGGGAATCCTCAGCTGGCCAATAGGGGCCAGAATCTGGCTCCTCTGTACAAAACAATAGGGCAAAAGGATCTAGTCCTTAATTTTAATGAGATTTATTATATTTTCATTTTATTCATTACCCACTCTTATTCTTGGAGATGAACCTTACAATTTAAGCAAGGCCTTAAAACAGAACCAGAGATACTAAAGGATATACATAGGTATACTTTCAGCTTGCACGTACAAGACTTCTCCAAATGAAAATGTGTGTAGAGTAAGAAGGGGCACAAGCATCACAGAATAACTGTACAATATCACAATATCTCAGTCTTCAAGATAATTGAGTGACAGTATAGCACTATAACCAACAATGCTGTGTTTTTTTACCTGTTCCACAACAGCTTTACTTTCATACACATATGCAAGGTTGTCTTCAAGTAAAGGACAAAGCTCATCCACTTTAGTTAGACAAATCAGCTGTGGAACTCCTGCATCAAAAAATAAGTAAGGTTTTACACCTAGTTTTTTAATCAGTTTTTCATTGCAATGACTTCTGCCTAGAAAAGGCAAAAGAATTTTGTTTTGTTCAAAAGTATTAGAAAATAAGATTAATTATAAGCAACTATGAATTAAACAATTATAAAACAACCTATGCATGTGGGTGGGAAAATATTTTGTAAACAAATTCATTATTTAGTTAACACCATAGACACCACACTTAATGGCTAATTTAGTAACTGGGCCAGGGTGGAAATTTGATTATTCAAAACAAGGGCTACAGAAAACATGGTATGCCTAGCAATTAGCTTTTCATGGCTCTGTCCACTTTATCCTCTGGAATTGACTTGTACCACACTGGGAGCAAATCACACTCCTGCTACTGTTTCTAGCCCTACCCACAGGAGATAATGGTGTGGAGCAGTGCTTGCTAGTATGGGACTCCCACACTTCCCTTTTTATTTGCTTTTTCTGTTTTCTTTCTGCAGTGTAGCTGCTAAACAAATCAGTTTTAATGCCTAGCATTTTCTAAAACAATTAATAAAATCAAAGTGGGTAACTCCTGGAGAGATGTATTCCTAGGAGCCTTACTAGTACATGTCTATGTCTACTGGGGATCTATTCCAATCAAAATGGCTTTGCTATATTAAGGAGAAGAAACATATGCTGTAAACCCAAACAGGAGAGAGAGAGTACTCAGGGACCCCTGGAATTTCTCTTTTTCCCCAGTGCCACTACTATAGCTTAGCACTGTAGCAAATATCTCTCCAATAAGAAAAATGAATATACTTCCATAAAACAATGCCATTTACAGAGATGAACCTGGTCGAAAGATTCACCCCCAAGAACAATATGTAACAGTCTATTCCCTGAGTATAAGTATGGGTCCTAGCAATGCTTTAAGTGTTCAGGCTTGAAACCTTGATTAATTTCTAAGCAGGCTCACTTCCTTCAATTCTGCACTGTTAAGGAACATAAAACGCACCAAGTTGGTTCACTTTCTTTCGAACTTGTTTCAGCTTCTGTTCCAGTGTGTCCGAGAGGATCTCTATTTTGCACCCATCAACAACAAATACAACACAGTGAATTTGTTCATTCAGAGCAGGATTTTTTATGTAGCCTGGAGAATCTTGGCAAATGGAGTCAGCTGGATTAAACTGCAAAGAAAATATCAGACAATAAGTTTTAGCAGTTCCAGAAAACTCTGCAGTCTAATAGTTACATGAGCCATATCTCTAAACAAGTAGTAAATAGTATTTGCTTCATTTTATAGGAGAGAAATGCTGGTCTGTAGGGAGATGGCTGAACTCACAGTGAGACTACTAGAATGAAGATTAAAACCAAAAGACATCAGGTGTTCCAGTCCCTTAGTCATTCTTTCAGACAGCCAAATTCTGATTTTAGTTATTATAAGCTGATGTAAATCCAAAATAGCCCATTTAAAATGTATAAGTTATATCTGAATACATACAAAAACATTCAAAGAGGAACTATTACAATTATTAATAAACTTAGTTACACTTTATTATTTGTCACCAGTACTTTGAAAAATGCTATTAAATATTTTTTAAACCTACAAAGTCAGTATGCCATTTACATTTCTAGTAGCAAATATGCTTCAAAATAGTTTAAACCAACTGTAATAACTTGGGCCTAATTATTCATTGGCTTACACAAGTACAACATGATTCCCAAACTATACCAGACAAGAAGAATAAATTATTATTTAAACGAGTTTGTATGACTATAAATGACAGCATAAGTGATTACAGACAGTGCAGGACAGAAGAGAATCAGACTTAACACTTCCATATAGTTCATTGATTTTTAAAGACACCTCACTTCTGACTGCCCTTAATCAGTGCCTATCGTCAGTTCCAAATCTGCCAGAATCTGTAGCATAATCTACCAAGCAGAGTGCTTATTTTCCTCTAGTAATTAAATGCAAGATAAAAATTTGGAAAAGAACCATTTAAGGACTTCACAGAGTTCAATACAAAATGCATAAAATTTGAAGAAATCCTACCTGGTACCTATCAGGAATATGGCCCTTTATTATGTTAGTTATTTCACTAATTTCTAAACCACATCCTAATTTTTCTTCTAGTCCCATTGTGTCACAGAAGATAACAGGGAGAGTCTTGCCATCTCTTCCATCTTTAACTGGATATGTCCGATACTAGTGGAGCAGAAACATAATGTAACATGTTACTGAAAAGAGCACAGTGACAGCCAGATTCCACACCCCTTCCCCAAAATGCGTAATGCCTTTTCCCACAACACATTTGCTGGAGCATGAACTTCAGTGAGGGTAAGCATGGAAAAAGTTATTAAAATATGATCTTTAAAGAAACATCTGTATTTTTTTCTCTTGTGTTGAAATGACATATGGATTTTGTTTAAGTGGATGTGCCTGTAGCTTAGAAGTTAAACAGTTAAAAGCAAATCCATACCTGTGTTGTCACACTTGTATCATCAGACCCTGTTATTGCTTGATTTGTCACATAACCTCGGAAAACTGAATTCACAGAGTTGAAAAAACTGGACTTCCCAGCTCCAACTGGACCAACAAATAGAATTCGAATCTGAGAGACTGGATTTAGATATGGCTCATAAGATCTGATTTCATCCATGATTTTTTTTCTCTCCCTGTGAAGATAAAAATACATCAAAATCAGACACAGGTGGTATCTCAGCCCCTACTTTATGATGCATATTAACAAGGGAAGATCAGGAACATGCAAATATTTCCCCTCTCCCCACACCCCACTTTCAGCTGTGGTGTCCTCTAATTCTGCATTCTGAGTTAGAAATATCTATGATCTGGTTTTCAGAAAGTGCCTGCTGAAGTTAAAGAAAGTTGGCTGTAAATCTGGTACAGGCATCCTAAATGAGGCAACTAAAAGACCTAAAACAGTTGTCCTGCTTTATCAGAGGTAAATTAAACCTCTAAATTAAGTTAAATCCAGAACAAGGTACTGGCTCTGCCACAGGTACTGAGCCATGGTAAAGTCATCTAAGCAATCTGAGGAATATGTTAAAAACCCTTTTTAAAGAGAGTAGGTGACTCCATTTACAGAACATATAGACACACAATATATATAGACCTGTCATGCATTCAGGTAACAGAGCTCAAGTTCTATAAATCACCAAATGCAGCTTATATCTTAAACCTGTATCCTGTGAAACAGGAAATACACAGATTCAGGCAAAGAGAAACAGATGAACCAGTGTCTAGAATGTGGTCACTGAAATGTAACCATTGTTCAGAAGCGCAAACATCAATGTAGTAAAGGAGTTTGACTAATTAGAGGTAAACAGTAATTAACTACCCTCAGGGAAATAACATCAAATACAGCGATTTTATGTTTTGATCTCTGATGTAAGAGATGTCAAGCTTTGTAGAAATGCCCTTTAGTTTTTTACACTCTGGACATTAAGGACATCCTTTGCAGAAAAGGATGTATGTACAGCACAGATTTGAAAAGCAGCATACTGCCACTAGGATGAAGGATGTTGGGATGCAGGGTGTTCTCCAGATAGGTCAACTGCACTATTTTTTGCTATCACTATTCTTAGGCTGATTTGGGAACTGTTCAGTCAATTAACTATCTTAACTAGCTGTTTAACTGGCCTATAATCCTGTAGATCAGCCACCTTGAATCTCTTCCAGAGTGCACAGTTTGGCTAGCAATAAGCCTAGCTTTTCAGAAAATGTACTATGGTTGAAACTTTCATCAATTGTGTAAAAGTGATAAGGGTTTTCTCCTCAAGATGATCTTTAAACATACACAACATATAACAGCAAATTCCCATAAAATAAATTTATCTTTTGTCAAAGTTCCTCAAACATTTTCTTCCAAAGAATCATGAAACCATAATAGGTTACTATTGCTGTCAGTAAACCTTAACTTAAAGATAACAACTTATTCACTGTTTTTCAGACCCTCATGCCAGCCTGGAATCTGCAGGGAACTCAGGACAATAGTATCACAAACCTGGCAATTTTCCCTCTGTGAGAACAGTGTTGATTCCCAGTCCACGCAATTAATGTCCTTTAAGACTTTCTGGATCTCAGGAGGCTGAAACGCTTGGCCTCTCTGGCTTGTTTCTGGCGCAGATTTTGTCTGTTATCACCTTGCATAAATTGAGCCTTGCAGCCCAGCTGTCTTTCACCCACAGGATTAATACTGAACCCAAAACAGAACAGTAATTTAAGGCTAGGGAAGGACACTACACATAAACCGGTTTAAGTGATCAAAAACTGTTTTAAACCTGTAACAGAAGTTCAGTGCACGTAAACCAGTTTGAAAATTGCTGAAACTGGTTATAAACCAGTTTGAAAATTGCTGAAACTGGTTTGAGATACTACATTAACCAGGTTTATCAGATTTAACTGATTTGGGTCAAACCAGTTTATGCAATGTCTGTCCCAGACCCTTCCTGGTTTAAGTTAAATCAGAGTCCCCCAGTGTTCTGGCATGCTCTCTGGGCTGGGCAGGGCCCTCTGCTCTGGGCTGGCCCTTCCCCTCTGCTCCCTGGCTGCAGCTCCATCACAGACTGCGCATACAACAGAGTCTGCCTGGCTTCCTCCTGTTCTCCACCACCCCCCCCAGCCCCTCCTTGCTCAAGCAGGAATCCCCCCTCTGCTCTGCCTTACCCAAATACTTCCCAGCATTAGCTAGCATACCACTTGCTGACTATGGTCTGTGCTGTGGGAGATGGGACAAAGGCAGACAGGACTATGTCAACTTATGGCTTTCTGGAGCTAATCAATAAGTAGCTGGTAATGTCCCTCCATTCCTTCCTTGGAAAAGCTGAACTAATGGAGAGAGGCTGTTGTTTTCTTAATGGGAGGACAACATTGAGTTGGGGTGATAAAGACTGTGTTATCAACTCCCTGCTGGGCTGCTCAGGGTGGAAGGAGAGGAACCCCTCCCTAGTCAGAGCGTCCTGCTGGGGGCTGGTCATGCTCCTCCTCAGCTCAGCACTATAGAAGAGACGGAGGGCTGCTCTAGGATCCCCTGGCTTCTAGCCTGAGCTACTGCAGGCATGTGCCAGCATTTCTTCATCCAGAGGGGATGTCTGAATGGTGAAAAACTGGTTTAGCCTAGCCAGGTTAGACTAACCTGCAAAGATTGAATCAATTCAGGCTCAGGCTTTTTGAATGTCTGTCCCTAGCCTAAATGTAACCTGTCCCATAACTCCAGCTACATGGACACACAAAGCAGACAAATGATGCACTGCCTCATACTAGGAGAAGTCACTTAGTTCCAGAATAAAGTGACAAGTAACTATACACAGATGTAAGCTACACTGGTGTATTGATCTCATGTCCACTCTCCTAGTTACTTCATTTGCTCAGTGCAAACTGGTTTCCTCTTTTTAGTAGCCAGGCACTGTAACAGTGTTCCCTTGACTAGCTTTGCAGAGCTGTTTGTGAATTAACTTTTTCTCCCATACCTGCATACGTTGCACTCGGATCCTGAAAACATTGCTTGATCATGGAACCTAAGCACTACTCCCAGCTTCCCATGATAATTTATATAAAGTGAAACTTCTTCTATTGGAGAGAAAGAGTACATTTCTGTACCATGGTCAGGATCATGCTAGGGAGCACTGTTATGAAGCACAGTGCACCCACTCTGCAAGCTCTACTTCCCCAAGCTGAGGGCTGGCCATGTATTAATGGACTCCCTTTTTTGGCAGGGCTTATGGGCATGCTCCCAGTCCTCATATAAGGAGACCACATGATATCAGTTTCTGCTACCTCACCTGGAGCAAGAGTGGAGTGCTTCACTGTGGATTCCCTGGTATGGTCCTGAGGCTGTATTTTCATATCCTAAGAATGCCCCACTCCAGAACACTATTTAACTTGGTAGTTAAGGAACACATTTGGGGTTTGCAAGAGCTCCAGTCACTATGAATGACCAGGTTTCTCAAATCAACCCTCACTCCAGTAACCAGTTCAAGGTTATGAAACCTCAGTGGAGATAGGTACTTATATGAAAAGAGTGAGGTATAGGTCGCCATCCCTGTACCAAACATTACCTACTGTTTTATACCTACTGCATGATAATTTTGTGAATCCCATTCTTAGGTCTCTAACCTGACTATGTATAATTAGTAAGCACTAATGCACAGCTAGATCCTACTGGGTGGCATGACACCTAGAAGTTAGTGTTCAATGTTGTTGTGCCTAAGACAGCTAAGTCCCTTTGTGGCTTTTAGCCTCTTTTTTGGACACTGACAAATGTGAAAAAAAGAAAAAATGAGTGCTTTACTTCCAGCTCGGCACACCCCTGCACCAAGCACAGCTCATGGCCAAAAGAGGCATTGCATTAGTTTGACTGACTCACCCAACATCTTTATAGATCACATGCTTCAACAGGGCTTTTTGGTGCTTTGCTCTAATAGCCAATTGAATCTGCTTTAGTTAAAAGTGCCAAAAAGCCCTGCTAAAGTACCTGATCTATACAGACTCTGGAGAACTGGATTAAACTGATGTGCTTCCTCTTCTGGTAAAGCACTGGGGTTCAGGCGGGGGGTTTATGCCTGTCAGCAGCCTTTTTGCCTCATTTGCCATCTTTTAAAATGGTAATAATATACTTCCATCTATTGCTGAAATAGTACAAGAATAAATGCAATAAGACCAGGATGCACTTGGATTCTATGTTGATGGAATTCATGTAAGTACCTAAAATATACAAACAGCATTTCAGTATCACATAACTATATCAAACTTTATTACTATCTATCAAATTCCCAGATAACCCCCAGTGTTCACTAGCCACAGATCATCACATTTATATACTACAATAGTTAACTTACTCAGCTGTCCAAGTCACATTCCTCCATGGAGATTCTAGGAAATCAGCATAATCTAAGGGAAAGTAATATAATATTAAGAATATGAAACAAAACTCTCAATTTTCATTTTCTCTTTAGATGCAAATTTACCTTCAACTCTGTAAACTTCACATTCCAAAAGCTTGAAATCATTTCCAGTCAACTCCTCAGCAGAGGCTGTGTAGTTCTTGTTATCATTCATTGCTACTGATACACTATTACCATTCAGAAGGATTAGAAAGTAATTTCCAAAGTTAGGGCCACTGTTATTACAGACATATACAGCATTAGCTGCATTTCGACACACAAATATTTTAGAGTTGACCACACCCTCTTTCCTTGTTAGTCTAAAGAGAAAAGCCTCCTCATCACTTAGGTACTGCTGAATCGAAACATAGCTCTGACTTGTAAAGCCTCCAAAAATAAAACCACTTTCATTATATGCTACTGTTACAGTTGGTCCTTGATTATCACATTTGGCATGAAATCCAACAGCAGTGAAACCATGGACACTTCCCTTGTACAGAAGTGTCAAGTGACTGCATCTCAAAAGACGTTTCAGCTCCTTTTCTTCATCTTTTGTTAAGCTGGTTTTGACAGCACTCATCCTTCTTAATCTAGAGAAAGAGAGAGAAATTACAAATGTATTATTTATTCATTCATATGCATAAGACTAGTATCTGGAAGTATCAAATGAGGTCAGGCAGGGTTAAAACAGAGAACAGTTCCTACTACAAAGTCTACACTCTACACAAACAAGATGAGCATGGTGGAAGAAGCCATTGTTTTCTCTATTTTACATGCAGGAAATGAAATACAGGAGGCCAAAATCCTCAGCTTGTATAAACCAGCATATATTCATAGACCTCAACATTTATAGAATGACTCATTCACAGAGCTAGTGTCACAAACGAGTCTCAGAATTGTTTGCAAGAGTAAAACTGCATGTAAGACATGTTGGCACTAGTAATTTTGCTTGTACTATAGGAGTGAAAAAGATTATACTTCATTTGTGGGGTTTTTGGGGTTTTTTTCTTTCTTTTTTCTTCTACTTCCTTTATATCTCTGCTTGATTGTTCATAGCCATAATTCTGCCAAAATAAATCGTGTATGAACTGATGTGGGAAGAGGGGGAATAAGTTGCTGTCCTTTTTTTTTTTAAAGGTATGCCTATACCGGATTTCAAGTCATGAGGATTGTACACCTGTCATTTAATTATTCTCAACTACAGAGATACATGAGACATATAAAGCTGTCCTTTAATCTTTACATCATTTACATGGCAGTAGGCAGAACTTCCAGCACTACAAACTGCCTGTTTTCATATTAACAAGGATGTATGCACACTGTATACATGTTTACTTGGAAATAACATGATGGGGCAAAATCCCTTGTTTTGGATTCAAGTACAAGTGGAGGAGGGCAGGCAGCTACTGCAGCTCTGGCTGTGGCTCTGGCACCATGCTGAGCTTAGGAGTCAGAGCCACCATTCCTTAACCCTGTATCCACCCTCTGCCACCTCTGTTCTGTGCTGCCTTTCCCCCCTGCCACCTGCTTGCCTACACCCCACTGCTTACCCTGAGTTGCGACTCCAGCCCACGGCACAGAGCAGATGCTGACTCTGGCTTCTGCCTGGCCAGGAAGTAGTGGTGCTAGCAGCTTCAGCTCTGGCTCCAGCCCCATCTCCAACCCTAGGGCCAGGGCCAGAGCTGCCGTCACAACCAGAGTAAGTGGCAGAGGGGAGGAGGGGCCAAGCAGGGTGCAGACAAGTGGTAATAAGCAGAAGGCACCAGGGAGAACAGGCACTGCAAAAAATGAAGCAGGCAAGGGAGGGTGCAGGCAAGAAGGCAGGTGCCAGGTTGGCACAGGCACTGCAGCACAGAGAGGTGACAATGGGAACAAATAGCAGGGTGGGTGCATGGTGGAGGAGGACAGGCAGCAAGGGGCCAGTGCACATGGGCAAGAGGTGAGGGTCAGATTGCTTGACTCCCCCACCATCTGCCCCTGCCACTGCTTTTCCTGTTACGGGGGGAGCAAATTAAGACAACCTTCCAATAGTTAGATTCTATACATGGAAAATTATAACAGATTTATAAAAGCTCCAGGTCTAGGATCTAATTATTGAGGGGTCATGTTAAAGTCACTCATATTGGATTTAGCTAAATGTGGTAACCTACAAAACATTTTGCTTAGAAAATCCCATTGTTCAAAAGTCAGAATCTTTTGAAAGCTCTGCACCGAACCCACAGGTGGAACCTGCAGATGCTTTGGTTAACTTACTCACTGATTGTTGCCACAAGTGAAGCATTCAACTGAAAGTTCAAAGCTGAAGTTACTATGAATGGAACAAGATCCATACCAGAAGTGTAACCCGGGCAGTACTCCAAGAGGTACCCCCTCTCCAACTGAAGGGAATCAAAAAAGGTGCACAAGCACTGTGGGAGGTATAGGGACTTTCCTCCCCCAGTAGAGCACAGCCAGTCACACTCCTTTGTTACACTATTGATTCATACTAGTACTGCAATATACAGGCATCATTAAACAAATATGTTTGTAGACCACCTTCTATCTTATATGTACACACATGTATATGTTATAAATATTACACTTCATTCAGTTATGCCATACATTTAATAATACATGTTAATATAACATATTATAAATAAAATTGTATATTCTCACCAAGTGAGCCCTCCTGCTGGAAGTTCAGTATGTAGTGAGGAAAGAAAACTGAAAGCAATTTTTGAGATCGCAATGAGGCTAGAGTTTTACTTCCTTATTTGTGGTTCCTTTCTTGTTTCCTAACAATTGCCAAGCCAGCTGTAACTCATCTAAAATAACAGAAGACTCTCCTCAACAAGAAATAGTTCTGCTTCTTAGTACGATAAAGTGGCACAGGTTAGAATTTTTAAACAGTTATTGCCCCGGCCAGCTGGCTAGGGGGAAAGATAGCAGGAAGAGAAAGCAGGGACTGGCCACATCTGAGCCAAGTAAACTGGAGGCCTGGTCAGCTGACTGAGGAGGCTATAAACCTTTTCTCAAGGCTGAGGTAGTGGGAGTGGTGGGGTAGGATGCAGCCACCCTGAGAGGCAAGGCTCTGAGCAAGCCATGCAGGAAAAGCTGTTGCTCAGGAAGGGAAGCTTCTGTTGCCAGACAGTGAAGGAGAGCCCGGGGAGTGCAGAGGATGGAGAATGTTTCTGTTGTGTTAACTCAGGAAGAAACCTGGGAAAGGGGAGGTAAAGGCATGTGGAACAGAGAGGACCGATTAAAACCTGGAGGGACCATGTGCATCCAGAGAACTAAGGGCAGCTCAGATAGTGCCTGGAGGGGCCCAGTGAAGTGGGTGCATGTGGTAGGCTGGGTGGTTTACGTGAACCCAAAGTTAAACTCTTTCCTTTCTTCTGCTCAGGTCTTGGTCACACCTGGTAGACCAGGGTGGCTCTAAAAGGAGGTATGGAGGCAACAGAGCAGAGTGTTCAGTGTCCTGTCAATTTTTCCCCTGTGGCTGGACTCAATCATCTTGTGGTCACTGGTGCCCAAGTTGCCATCCACTTCTACCTTCCCCACCAGTTCTTCCACGTTTATGAGCAGCAGACCAAGAAGAGCATGGCCCCTAGTTGGCCGCTCCAGCACTTGCACCAGGAAGTTGTCCCCAGTACACTCCAAAAACTTCCTGGATTGCCTGTGCACTGCTGTATTGCCCTCCCAGCAAGTGTCAGTGTGATTGAACTCCCCCATGAAAACCAGGGCCTGTGATCAGGAAACTTCTGCTAGCTATTTGAAGATAGCCTGATCCACCACTTCTTTATCTGATGGTCTGTAGCAGACCTCCACCACATCACCCTTATTGCTCTCCCCTCTGACCCTAACCCAAGTTTCATACTGGAGCTCTGAGCCATTGTATAGCTCTTTTACATAAAGTGCAACTCCTTCTCCTCTTCTCCCCTGTCTGTCCTTCCTGAACAGTTTATACCCAGCCATGACAGTGCTCCAGTCATGCGAGCTATTCTAACAAGTATTTGTTATCCTAATCATATCATAGTTCTGCAACTGTGCAAGGGCTTCCAGTTCTTCTGGCTTGTTTCCCAGGCTCCATGCATTCATGTACAAGCACCTGAGGTAACTAGCCGATTGCCCTGACTTCTCAGAAAGAATGAGAACACCTCCTCTGTTGCACACTCCTGCTTGTCCTTCCTCCAGGTCACCCACTTCCCCACTTACCTCAGGGCTTTGGTCTCCATCCCCTGACAAACCTAGTTTAAAGCTCTCCTCACTAGGTTAGTAAGCCAGTCTGCAAAGATGCTCTTCCCTCTCCATCAGGTGGATCCCATCCAGATCAATGCTCGGGATCTCAATATCACGCTGTTAGGCAGGAGGACATGACACAAAACTGTACACACACACACACACACACACACAAACTCCACATATAATACTATGTGTTCACACACATGCACATACACAAACATGCACTTTTGTGGCTGTGCGTTAACAGCAGGGGTTACTCGGGGTCACAGTGCCCCGGGGGTTCTTCAGGGTCACACTGCCCTGGGGGAGAAAGAGAAAGAATGAGAGAGCAAGAGAAAGAACCAGCCAGGAAGCTGGAGAGAGAAGGTGAAGGGAACCGGAAAGGAAGCAGGAGGAGCGGTGGAGCAGGAGGCAAGGGTTGGTGGGACAGAAGCCGGGAGACAGCGGGGGTCAGCAGAGGTGACAGGGAAAAAGCCAGCAGAGATGCCAGGGCTGGAGAGAGAAGGTGGAGCAGTGAGCCAGGGAGCTCGGGACACAGAGCAGGGAGGGAAGAACTGAGCAGGTGGTGGAGCCAGTAGGGAGAAAGCTAGCAGTGGGGGTCAGCGGAGGTGGCAGGGAAAGCCAGCAGAGATGCCAGGACCAGAGAGAGAAGGTGGAGCAGTGAGCCGGGGAGCTCAGGAGATCAAGGAGAAAGCAGAGGCAGCAGAGGTGGAGGTAGCTGGGCTGGATAGCCAGGGAACCAGCTAGCAGCCAGGGGGATCAAAAGGCAGAAACCGGGAGCTGGGAAAAGCCAGGAGACAGCGGAGAGGAGCCAGGGGACAGAAGAGAGCAGCTGGGAAAAAGAGACAGAGCAGAAGCTGCAGGAGAAAAGAGGGGGATGAGACAGAGATAAGCTGGGACGCTGACAGAGAGCCTGGGCAGCAGAGCAGGAAAAAGCTGGGAGACAGTGAAGGAAGGAGAGAAAGCTGAGGGGTGGTAGGGAGGGCTGATCTGGGAGATGGAGGTAGAAACAGAGGTGGAGGAGACAGCCAGGGGAGACGAGGCCAGGAGAGATTGGGAAAGCAGCGAGATCAAAGGGGTAGAAGCTGGGAAGCTGAGAGGCAGTGGAGCAAAAGTGAGGAGTGGTGAAAGTTGGGGTTTGGAGGAGAGCAGAGCCAGGGTTTTAAAGGTAGCAGAGAGGGAGCTGAGATGACAGAGAGAGAGAGAGAGAGAGAGAGAGAGAAGGACATAACGAAGGTCAGAAGGGCAGAAAGTAGATATTGGAGCAGGGCCAGGAGGTTGGTAAGATAAAAACACAACTATACAGCCCCAGCAACACAGTATACAGCCCCACAAAGTTATTGGTTCCCACACATACACACAAAGACACTCACACCCACACAATGGTAGCAGGAGAGAAAAGGCTTAATGGAGGGGTTTGAGGTCCAGGTGTGCAGAGACAGAGTTCAGGTCCCTTGCTTGGGAGAAGAAGGTGGGTGATAGCTACCTATCTCAGGCTGAGAGTTAATCCTTGATGGCCTGTTGGGGTCTTCTCCAGCAAAGTGTTGTCCAGAGGGGGTCACTGGCAGGGCCTCTGGGTGGATAGGTGGCATGGCGTAGTGCTAGTCTAGATGGAGAGGGCATCCCAACGAGGTCACACTCTACCACCCCTTTTATAGGGGTGGGCTACCTGTGACTCCGACGGGCAGGAAATGCCCAGGCAAGGGCCAATTCTGTTCAGATGAGGTCATGGAGTTCCAGGTGTCCTTATTGTCCAGTGGGATACAATGGTGCAGTTTCTGGTTTCTATTCTTTGTTTCTATGAAGCTGGTTTCCTGAGGATCTTTATCTTTCAAATATTGGGTCCTGGGAGTAGGTCTGTGGTTTCAGGGACAGTCAATGCAAGGAGGTGGTCCAGTCATTGAGCTGATGGTCCAGTCATTGAGCAGGAGCTATTTTTAGGCCTGCTACCATTATGTCTCAAGCACCCTCATTCATCCTCATTCACCCAGGGACCAATTTACATAGGAGGGGTCAAAATGAGTCATAGTTGCAACACAGTTATAATAAGTTATGCCCAGGCTGGGGACACAAAATGGAGACTTGACATTACAAGATGGAGGGTTGACATTACTTTGGTTAACTTACAAGAACAGGTCTAAACCATACAATATATAAAACAGTAATGGTCAATACAAACATAACAGAAATACAATATAAAACAGTACAAATCAATACAAAATAACAGAACTCTATTTACAATATAAAAAGGGGCTTATTACAATAATGGACTACAAGAACTTAGCTTATCTATGACTACTTATAAGGGATAGAGAAGACAGAGAGAAAGTCAGAAATGGTTGGGGAAGGGGGAAGAATGTATTTTTAAATAAAAAGAAAAAAAATGGGGGTTTAGCTACACTAGCAATCCTTCTTGGAATATCATCCCATGGTAAAAAAGCCAAAGCCCTGTTGGCAACACTACCTGTGCAGCCATGCATTGATCTTCAGGATGCACCTGCTTCTGCCCAGACCCTTGTCCCTTTCACCCAAAGCCCTGTAGTCACTTTTTAATCTGCTCAGGGTCTCCACTGGCAGTATCATTTGTGCCCACATGGATGAGCAGCATGAGGTAGTAGTCAGAGGGCCAGATAAGTCTCAGTAAATCTTTTGAACGTCATAATCCCCTTTATATGCCCTAAATTTTGGATGTGTATTGGTCTACATAGTGGCAACATAGAAGATAAGGAATTATAAATAAAAAAAACATTCACACATATCAAATGTTTCCCAGAGGTTGAGTGACTATGGCTAACTAGCTGGGTTTAACCAAAAACTTTTGCTAGTTGGCCAGAGATTTCAGACTAGATTCATGGAAGCATTTGGCCTAATTTTGCCACCTAAAGGAACCCAGCCATAGTCAGAGGCCTAGTCTTTCTATACAATGCTCTGGTAGAACTACATAAAATAGGATCCACAAAAGCCAGGAAGTCCAGTAGGGAATGGCAAGGAGATAGGTGGGGTGAAGTTAAGGTAAGTGAAAGAAGCACTTAAACCTACAAGGAGATGTGAATCTCTTTGGAAACACTCTCCTGGAGAAGGTACCTTTCCTTGTGAAATCAGATAGTGGGAGAAAGTGGTGGTGTCTTGTACCCAAAATCCTAGAACACTCATCTTGGATATGTGAGATAAAGATTGAAATTCTTCCCCCCTTGAGGGAACCTGGGCCTATACATCACACAATAGTGCCCAAACCAGCAAGATGCATAGCTCCTGCAGGCAACACAGAGGACACTGTCGCTGCCATCCCCACTCTCCCCAAGACCAAACACAAAGTGTTTGTCGTGGGAGACTCCATCCTGAGGGGGACTGAGGGGGCAACCTGCCACCCCAACCTCTTAGCCCGTGAAGTTTTCTGCTTCCCGGGGACCCACATCTGTGACATTACAGAGAAGATCCCTAAACTCCTCCAGCCCACAGACCACTATCCTATGC